TTATTATTATTTCTGAATGTTTTATATTTATATTTTGTATGATTTTTTATTATTCTTTTTCCTTGATTCTTTCTATTTATTTATTTATTCTTATTATTTGTTTGATTATTTATGTATTATTTATTTTTTATTTTATTTTATTTTATCATAAATAATTAGCATACTAATGCACCTAGCAACCACATAACAACACCTAGGCAACCAACAACATCCTCTTAGTGGTGCTATTTTAGTATAATTTGACATACCATTATAGTTTTTATTAATATTTTGTTTTTATTTTTATATTTTTTGTTCATTTTAATTTTCTGTAATATTTTAGTCATTTTGTTGTGTGTTTTTTTTTTGTCTCTTTTTTTATTTTTTTTTTTACAGTATTTAAAAAAAATATTTCAGTTTTATACAAGTTAAACTAATAAAAATGACAAATGTTGCCTTGGCAACTAGTTTTTATATTTAATGTTTTATATTTTATTTCAGTTAAGATTTTAAGATTATTTCAAGTTTTTTTTTAATGGTTTTAGTTTCAATTAATTATAATACAGCACTATAATAAATAACCCCGCATACTAGAATCACATTTTCTTTAGGCAATAATAATAATAATAAAAAAAAGTTTCACTTTCTAATAATGTACTACAATGCAGCATCTATTATCATCATCATCATCTGGTTTCATTTCTCTTGTTCACACTGATAGGATCTGTGGCTGAAGCTCTCAGGTCTGAATTAAGCGGGACGTTTAAGTGAACAATGTGATTCTCCAGACGTGAGATTACTGCACGAGTCTCATTTTCTGTCCTTTATTAATTTGTTTTTGTTCCTCGTGTGATCTGATGAGCTTTAATGACGCTGGCGGATGTAACTTCAGCTTTGTTTACGTGTGTGATCAGGCTTTAGTGTTTGTCACTGGATGCTGATTGGTTCGATAAGAGCTTCATTTGATTGGACGGTTCCACTGGCTTCAGCAGATGAGGAAGGTTGTGAGTTTTAGGGTGTGCTAGAGTCTTGATTAACTGTTTTGGGACGTTTATTTCTCCTCATCAGAGGTTTGGATGGTCTCTTACAGTTTATAAGCTGTAAGTGATTCAGTTCATATGGATCATTGTCTGTTTCCTGTCATCTTTAGGGTTCTTGCACTTCCTGTGAAGAATCTCACTGGGTCAGGACCGGTCCATCCTGCATTAGCAGGTACTACACCACAAAATCTAATTCACTTCAGTGTAAAGAACTTTATTGGCATGACAGACTACATTTATTTTGTGTTTACAGCTTAATTCTGTACAGAAGTTTATAGAAATGTGTTTTTTTTTAATATACAAGCAAACTACAGGTAATAATTCAAGTTTTTAACAACAAAAAAAACAAGTTAATAATTTAGAATTAAGAATTAACATATATTTTATTTTGCAAGTAAACAGCTTAACTCTGTACAAAAGTGTAAAGAAACAATTTTTATTGTTTTATTTTGACATGCAAGGAAACAGCTTAACTGTGTACAAAGATATATGTCAGTGATTATTTATTTGTTTATTTATTATGTTTATATTGTAATTTAATATGCAAGTAAACTAAATACCAACGAATCATTTTAATAAAAAGACATAATGTAGACATAATTAGGAATTTAGGATTAAGAATTAATGTAAGTTTTATTTGGCAAGTAAATAGCTTAACTTTGTACAAAAGTGTATAGAAATCATTTTTTTATTGTTTTATTTTAACATGCAAGTATACAGCTTAAATGTGTCCAAAGTTGTATATCAGTGATTATTTTATTTTATTTTATTTTATTTTATTTTATTTAGTCATTTTCAGACTCTTTTATCCAAAGCGACTTACAAATGAGGACAACAGAAGCAATCAATTGTAGTATTAAAACAACTAAAAACATCCAAAACTAAAAGCTAAAACTTTATAAATACTACTTATACACATTTTAAAAATAAAGATAAATTAAATAAAAATGACAAATGCATACAACAAAATTTCAAAACTTAACATTTAAATGAAAAACTAAAAATAAAGCTAAAAACAATTCAAAATATTAAAGAACAAAAGGTATAAGAGTATAATAATGATTCTAACATAACACTAAGCCAAACACCAAAAAAACAACTACATATATGTGTATGTACAACCACACACACATACATACAGTATATGCTGTATATATACATACATTTATAAAATCAATATATATATATTATTTCATTTCCATTTAGTTTGTTGAAGTATTAAAATAACTCCAATTAAATAAAACTAAAAACTTAATAAAAGACCTATACAGACAGAATCAATTCAGACATAATTTAACTAAAATTAAAATAAATAACAAATACAAATAATACAAATCAAATGACAGTAGTTTATCAGTAATCCTAAAAAATAACACTGAGCCAAACACACATAAAAAACAACAACTTACTGCCACATAGTAAGAAATGGTTATAAAAACTTAAACAGAAGTGAAACGTAGAAGTGAAAGTAGTAGGAAAGAGGAGAAATAAAAAGCGATACTTATTTTTATATTTTTTATTTTATTTTATTTTATTTTATTTTATTTTATTTTCATGAAAAGACCAGTTAAACTATGTACCAACGAATGATTTGAACAAAAAGACTTTAATTAAGAAACAGTTATGTTATTTACATTAATGCATTTGGCAGATGCTTTTTATCCAATACAATTTATCAGTTCATGCATTTCCCAGGAATTGAACCCATGACCTTGGCCTTACAGTGCCATGATCTACAGCTTAAGCTTATATTAGTGTCTTTGTGTCAGGAATGACTGGTATCCTCATGTGTGCTGCTGGGCTCCCCGTGTGTTTGACTCGGGCTCCTAAACCGATCCTGCATCCACCGCCGATCAGCAAGAGCGACCTGAAACCTGTGCCAGGAATCAACAGCATCCGACGCAAGACCAAGAAAAAGCACCTCCGCAAAGGTGTGTGTGTGTGTCTGCCTGTCTGTGTGTGTCTGTGTGTGTGTGTGTCTATCTGTGTGTCTGTGTGTGTGTGTGTCTATCTGTGTGTCTGTGTGTGTGTGTGTCTATCTGTGTGTCTGTGTGTGTGTGTGTCTATCTGTGTGTCTGTGTGTGTGTGTGTCTATCTGTGTGTCTGTGTGTGTGTGTGTCTATCTGTGTGTCTGTGTGTGTGTGTGTCTATCTGTGTGTCTGTGTGTGTGTGTGTCTATCTGTGTGTCTGTGTGTGTGTGTGTCTCTGTGTGTGTGTGTGTGTGTGTGTGTGTGTTTGTCTAGCGATTGATTCTCTGTCTGACTTTTTTTGCTGATCTGAGCAGAGCAGACTTTGTGTGAATCGAGCAACAACGGAAAGTGACAAGGTTCCTCTTACATTACAGCACCTGAACCGTGTTACCATAGATCTGCTTAACGTCGTACTGATAGATTTGTTTTTGTACCTCCGTTCCTGCACAAATCAATAGTGTATTGAAAGTCCAGACAGCAGGTGTGTGTTCATGCGCTAAAGGTCACCAGAGTAAAGACGCTTTGAGAAATAAACACTGAAGCTCTGTGTTTTGAAGAGTACATTTGTCTGCTAAATTTGACAGAGCCTCTCTTTAGCGTCATTCGGTGTAAAAAGAAAGTTATAAATAAAGCATTAACACTGTTGGTGTACAAATTTAAGAGCTTTAAAATCTGGGATTTGTCTTTTGTGGTTTTCCAGTCACATGGAGCTTAATAAACAAACCAGCTTCTGTCTGCAATTTTATGTTTATTAGATTTTTAGTAAAAGCAGGGACATATATCTATATATATATCTTGCTCCCTTTTATTTTATTTACATTTGAGTAAATTCTATAAAAGGCGTATAGAAATGATTTTATTTTTTTATTTTATTTTATTTTAATTTATATTTTATTGTATTTTTGTATATTAAATTTTATTTACATTCAAGTAAAGAGCTTAATTCTATAAAATGTGTATATAAATTATTTTTTATTTTAATTTATATTTTATTTTATTTTTGTCCCACTGTATATCTATATATATCTTGCTCCCTTTTATTTTATTTACATTTGAGTAAATTCTATAAAAGGCGTATAGAAATGATTTAATTTTTTTATTTTATTTTAATTTATATTTTATTGTATTTTTGTATATTAAATTTTATTTACATTCAAGTAAAGAGCTTAATTCTATAAAATGTGTATATAAATTATTTTTTATTTTAATTTATATTTTATTTTATTTTTGTACATTTAATTTTGTTTACAATTGAGTAAACAGCTTAATTCTATAAGAGTA